TTACCTCCCCAGAGCAAACAGCTCTGCCACTCCCAGGTTCAGCTGTAATTGCCAGCCAAGGGTTCCTTTTTCCCAGTGAACTCAGTGGCCTCATGGAAGGTTCCCAAATAAGCTGGCTGCTTATCTGCACAACAGCCGCAGGGTGCAGGCAGCAGTGATACGTCCACCCACGAGCCAGACCGCTTGGGTTTGCCTGCAGCACATCCTTCCCACATGCAAAATCTGCCTCTGAATGGAGGGTGCAGAGCAAGCAAATGGGATAAAACACCAGCCACCTACAACCGGAGAGGGAAGATCAGCTCTCAATGAGAGCATCAAGTTTGCCTGGCTCAGCTGGAGATAAAAAGATGAACCACACACTGATTTCTCATACTGAGATAACAACAAAGGATTTGTCTCCAAGAGAAGCATCTTTTCTGCCTATGTGCCAGCAAAATAAGTAATTTTCCTGTTTGACTTTATAGCAAACTTTGTCAAATATCCCTCTGGCACCAGGCCGGAGAGCTATATATGACATATATATACATGTTCCTTGTCACAGCAGATTGATGCCAGAAACTCCAGCAAAGATTTCAGCAGCAGAGACCTACCTCCTGTGATGGTTTTAGGAGGGTGCACAGATCTCTGGAGGAACAGCTTATTTAAAGCACCGTTGTGGAGCAACCTGGCTTTTGGGACTTAACTGAAAGGAGGGGGTCTGGGAAGGGACTGTGGCCCCAAAGCTGCTGTTTGGTCCTTATGTAGACACAGAGCCCAAAAAGATCTTATTTTATGGGTGCCTGGAGGATTGAATAATAGAGCAATTCTCAAGTGTTTGGATAGGAAATTTCATCTGGAACCTGGGAAGATTTTTTCCTGGCAAAAGCTTCATGAGAACTGGTGTGTTCTGAGGACAGGCCAATTTCAAGAAATCCGAATTTCCTGATGAATATGTGCTCCCTGGAAAAACTCCTGGGGACTTTTTGTATGCAAGGATGCCTTGAAGAAACATCATTGGTCCTTCAGGTCTGACACCCTCTGTGCTCTGAGAAATCAAAGCCGTGTCAGCATGTGCAGGTCCCACAGAGAGACTGAGAGTGATTGGAAGTAGCAGGAGATCTGCTGATGGAAATGGAGAAATCTCCTCTCCACAGAATTTGTAAATGAGACTGAGCAAAGCCATGGAAACGAGCCGGTCCAGAGCAATCCTCACTGACCAACCCAGTGCTGCAGCTGTCTTCTGCAGCCTCCTGGTTCACTGTGAGCCTGGGTGAGAAGTGGTCCCCTCCTTGCTGGAGCTCCCTAGATCAGCAGTGGGGGCAGCTGGAAGAGCAGAAGTCCCCAGACTGGGCATCACTGCATGGAGCCAGCCTCCAAGAGGTTTAAATTGATATCAAAAGGAAAAACTCAAGCTCCCAGCTTCCCTAGGAAATGTAAGAGAGCAAATGGTGTAAGACAATGCCAGCGGAGATGATCCACATCTTTAGTCCATCTGGAGGGGTGTGCTGCTGCAGAGGATGAGCAACATGGGCAAGGTGTCACTCTGAGGCTACCCCAAACAAGGAGCTCTTTGGGGTCATCAGTCTGAGAGCCAAGAGGTGTCTGAAGCTCTCTCCTATGGATGCTGAAAGCTCAGCTGAACTGACAGCATCTGACAGCTGGAGAAAACCAGCCTTTCAACCTCTAAGTTGAGCACATTTGCTATGGGCTTACTGGAGACTAATGACATAAAAGCTCATATTTTTCTAACAGATGGACTTTGCAAATGGAAATTTCATTTTTTCATGGATATTTTTGCTCCTTCACGGATTTTTTTTCCTTCTTCCAGGACTCATCCAGGGAAAATGCCCCATTTCTTGCACCTGGAAGTTTTGCCCCTTTGCTGTGAACTTAAAGTCACGCAAAAGGATGGCAGTTTATGAACATTCGTGGAGCTCCTGAGCCAAAATCAGAGCAATAGGCAACAAAGGGAGGTGAGGGCTCCCAGGGAAGGGTGAGCATTTCACAGGACGGAAGCATGGAAGGGGTTAGCCAGCTCAGCCTAATGAAAGGGAAGCTATAGGAATGTGTTTCAGGGATACAAATTTCCAGGTGGCCGAAAGGTATCTTGGTTTAAAACCATTGTTTGTACAAGGGTGAAAAGAAATAAACTAGCCACAGATGAATTTGTGCTGGGAATTAGAAAAAGCTAATTACATTTCATGTGGTGTTTCTGCTCTGTGCTTCCAGATGGAGAGAGAAGCAGCTCAGGGTCCAGGTTAGTGCTGGGCAGCTGCTATGGCAGGAACGGTACCAGCTGTGAGTGCAGGAGGGCAGCAGTGGATGCTCAGCAAAGCCTCCTCTGTGCTTTTCTCTCTGGTTCCACCTTTAAAAAGAAAAACCCTTCCAGGGAGTTCTTCCTAATGGCCAAAAAAAATCCTTTCTCAAGGGAGCAGGCTTTCATTTTACACACATTGTCAATGGAGCCTCCTCAGCCAGCTCATTTCCCAAGTCTTTAACCAGTCAGCCTGCCTGGAACGGAGAGATTTCCTCTCGTCTCAAATCACTTGGCTGCACATGGGAAAGAAGCCCTTTGACGAAGAGAATTCGCAAGGCTCTCAAATCCTCTTTATTCTTGCTGTGCTATCCCTCTTTGACTCATCTCCAAGAGACCATGTTGGGCTAAACCCAGGAGGAGCATGGAAAGGTGATGGCAGCAATCCTAGACACACACAGACACAACAGATACAGCTTCCACCCCTTCCCCGCACCATAAATTAAACCCCATCTGTACCCAGGACTTTAGCTGGGAGGATCAGCTAAAATAATCCAGTACATTCCTCCATTACCAGAGGGGCTGAATTCAGAGCAGCTCACAGTCCTCTTCCACCCTGGACCACAAATCTGCTCATCCCATGTCCCTAATACACCGGAGGCCCACAGTTCACATCTGGTCTGTTGAGGTACACAGATGGAAGTTAAAACACACACATGTAAAAATCAAAAGGCTAAAATGGGCTATTCCTGTGTTACCCAAAGCAGTGACAGCGGGAGGCCATGGTGGGACCAGTGTTTAGACAACAAGGGCTTCAAGGATCAACGTCATTCAAGGGGCAACATGAATTCTTAGGGATTCTTTTTCCTTGCAGCTAGCAGCACTGTCTAGAAAATCAAGCAGGAGATTGAGGAGCACATAGCAAAATGAATACAGACAGGCCTGGGTAACGCACAGTCCTGGGGTGAGGGAGAGGGTGGTTGGTACAGTGAAAGAACCGGCAAGCTTACTGAGTGCAATTATTTAATGGGTCTGTCGCTTCCAAATTCCACATTGCACACACACAGTCATTTAGAAAAGACTCACACTAGAAACGCTGACTTGGAGAACAGGAAACTCACCCTGTCTCCTGCTACACAAGGAGGCACGAGATTTACAACAACATTACAGCCGACCACAGAGGCGGACCAACAGACAGACACAGGAATCCTGAAAGACAGAAAAAGCCAAAAGCAGGGCATTCATGCTTTGGAAGGCAGCAGATGTTCCCATGGCCACCTTGCTGTGCGGGCAGGAGGCTGGGGTCATGGCTTGGCATACAGACACACCACACCATGGATCAGCATCTCGCTGGTCCTACACCTCTGCTTGCCCAGGTGCCATCTCTGCTGGTTGTCGTCTCTTTGGTCCCAAGGGCATCAGCTCCCAGAGCAACACCGGCTTTATGACGACCTGCATGTGCAGTGCAGGATGTGTCTGGTCCCAGGGCTGTCTCAGTGTTCCCTGTATGGTACTGGCTGTGATGCTGCAAGTCGAGTGTGAACCACACTAAACTCGTAGCTGGCCTTCAAAGTCTCACTTCTGCCCCCATTCCTGCCCAAGGGTCCTTTGCCTTCTACTTGCATGGGGTCTGCCATTCTATTATCCATCACATTTCATGGTGCAGCTGTTATAATGCCAGTATGCACACCCCAGACTTGGTTTTCAAGCCTTGAGCATGCAGAGAAAGGAGTTGTACGGTTACCACTTGATTTTACTGTATTTTTGGCTCCAGATGCTCAAAGAAAAGTGCTGCAGTAACTGTATTCAAGTGGACAAAGCCCCTAAAGGACTTCCAGCCTGTTGTGTGCCATCCCAAAAGGCTGGTGAGACAGCAAGCTGGGAATCAAACCTAAGCTACTCTGTTTAATTGATACAGCAGTCACCAGCAGGAAAAAAATCATGCGAGCCTTTTGTTCAGTACAGCAGTTCCTGTGTGCCAAAGGGCAGTGGTGCTGGAGGCAGAGCTCACCCATGAAAATGAGCTCTAAAGGAGATGATTGTGCAGAGACCAGACCATAGAGACTCGTCTACCTTCAAGCAATCTATCACTTCCACTCAGGAAGCACCTAAGCAATACCCATGGGGGCTGGGAGAGCATTTTAAGCAGGCAACATCCTGGTTTTGCTGTCTTCATGCTCTTCAGACCTTGCTCTTGGCCTTGTCAGAAATGGGATGCTGGGCTAGCTGGGCCTTTGCAATGATCTGATATGGTCACTCTTGTGTCCATAGGACTTTCTAATCACTCAAAATCCCAAGAGCCCTATTTCAAATGGAGGTTTTCCATTAACAGAGAATCTATGCAGCCATTCCTACACAAAACCCACTTTCCTGCTGCTGCCTCCCCACATACTGGTCTTGCCTATCACCACTGTCCTTCCCCACCTCAATCCCTTATCTTCCAAAACAAGTGAACAGCCACTACAGGAGCCAGAGCAAAGGCCCGTTAGCACAGCACCATCTTCCCATTGAAGACCATGAAGCTTTTGCAGCAATAATCCATCACATAAGGGTTCCTCCGAGGCAGAGCCGTTGTCTTTGTGCTGAACAGCTCTCGATAAATCCTCTCCTGCAAACTCATCCCATTGCTTTGCAGGCTCGTGAGTTCATTGAGCAGCCAGTTTCCTGCAGCAAGGAGATCTACTGCTGATTGCCCGCTCTGTGTAATGGATTGTGCAGACACTTCAGAGACGGAGATAAGAGTCACCATCTTCCATCACAACTATACTGAAGCCCATAGTTATTGGCCTCTTTCCCAAGCTGGTGTGTGTCCCAGGCCAGCCTCCCACAAAAAGATGGGAAGGAAGCTGCCTAGCACTCAGTACACAGTCACTGCCCAAAGATTTCATTTGCAGTTTTCTGCCCATCTCTGCTTACTCCACATTCCCCAAGGATTCGGTGTAACTGCCCTTCCAAGATACGTACTGCACTGAGCAGCACAGCTGCAGCTCAGACTGATTAAAACAAGAGGAAAATACCACGGCTAATGGTGATCCTTGTGATTTGCTGTCTCCTAGAATGGGTGGTAAAGTCACCTGAATGAAGGTAACACAGGGCAAGTATTTTCAACAGAGGGGAAATTGTTTCACGCTGCTTTTTCAATAGCAAACACACAGCTTTGTCCCTACTGCCAAAAAGCCTGGCACTAAAAATGCTGAAATCTTCTTGTAACTGAGTGGCAGCAAGCTGTAATTTACTGCATTCCTGCTTCTTTTATGTTCAAGAATTGCTTCACTTCTGAGAAGAAAGAGCTGTCATTTGTCAGCCCCATGTAGCCCCTCCTTCCAGCCATCACATTTCCACGTTATGCTAGACAAATTAATTCATTCACTTCTTCCTATCCACTCCCAAAAAAAGCTGGTGTATTCCCAGGAACTGAGAGTCATCCTTTCACAGCAACATCATAATCAATTTTCTTTTTAAAGCCATGTAATGGGCATGTTTCAGCAAAAAAACAGAATTTTCCTGCTGTTGCATCCACCTCTCTTCAATTGATTCAGAAAGAAACCTGTCTGTCTGCTGGCTTTTCACAAGCAGCTTCCCCACATCTCCGACCAATGGCATTATCATGGATCTCCAGCCCACCCATTGCAGCATCTGGCTGGCTGCTAACAATAGCTCTGCCTGGGTTTAGGATGCAGCCAGGTCCCTGGGCAAGTTGAGCTGTATCGCCTCTCCTCCTGTGGTATACTTGGCCACCGGTCCATTGCCTTCCATGGTGAAGAGCTTGCAAGCCTTTGCATTCTCATGAACTGGAGTGGACTTCTTTGAGGAGATGGGGGAATTTGTGGGGCTGAGCTGAACAGCAGTGGTATCCTGCACCGTGTGCTCGCTAGTTTCAATTTCAAAGGCTGTGTTGCCAGGTTTGATGAGCCCAATGTTGGAACCTGGTTTGGATTTCCTCGCCCCATGAGCTGGGGGCCTCCGGCTGCAGATGCAGCAGGCACCGAAGAACGTGAAGGCCACCACCAGCAAGATGGGTCCGATGATGATGGGAGGGTTGTTCATGGGGATGAAGGTCCCAAAGGCAAATGCTCCCACTAAGGTGATGTTGATCCCTGCTAGCATGATGCAAAGGCCACAAGCACAGCAGAGGGCAGGGGAGGGGAGGCCCTGAGGTCGTGTCTTTTTCTGGATGGGTTTCTGGGGCAAAGAGGCACCGCTCTTTTCGCTGAACATGTTGAGATTCATCAGAGGTGGCTTCAGTCCTCACAGGATGTACACTGCATTGAGAAGGTTAGTTTTGGTCTCCTGCTGCCTTGAAATCCCTGGAGAGGAACAAGAAAACGTGCAGCTGTTAGAGCAATGAACCAAAGGTGCCTTTCCACCACGGTTCGTGATGACCAGCATCATCTTCTTTGCTGGTGCCAAAAACTAAACAGAGATCCAAGCCTGTTCCCAAGTAAGGGCTCTCGCTGCCTATGGTGGCCATATGCAGTCAGCCTCAGGCTGGGGAACTGAGCCCAATGTGCTCAATGACCTTTGTCTAGGACCCAAAGCAGAACACATAGCCCTGAATGGCAACAGGAGTTCTCCATGGATGAGATTATTGGATGTGATAAGAGTTGGCTTTGTGTTCGCTGTACTTTGCTGGGAAGCCAAATTGCTGGAAGCCAGATTGCCAGCAGTTTGCTGGTGATGCCTTTGATTTTACAGACAAGAGAGCATATCTCTTCCCAGCCTGATTGCAAACAATAGCAGTCTGCCCTCTCCTACCCCCTTGCCTCGCTCCCTAGCTTCTCCCCCTCCTCTGCTGTTAAATCACTTTCAAAAGGGTTGCTGGGGGAAAACTGGTACCACACAGGTTTCCACTGCAAGAGCCAAGAGTCGTTGTGTTATTAACACTCTGCAGCCACTGCAATAAAAAATCCCCCACTAAATCACCCCCCATCACCCTAAACCATGCCAGTGGGACCAGCAAGAAATGGCATTTTCAACATGTTTCCTAGGTTATAAAATTTTCCCGCAGCTCCAGCTGAAGCAAAGCTCTGCTGCTCTATCTGGTGTCGTACCTCATTTCCATGGCTTGGGCTTTTGTTTGGACCTGAATGAAGTGCAGCAGTGAACTTGCAGTGAAGTTCATATTCAGTGGGACATCAGCTGGAGCTGACAGGGACAGGCACATGGAAGGATTAAATCCTTCCTTATTGAGGGATGCCTGGCTGGGGAGGAGTCTCTCTGTAGGCAAAGCTTTCTCCAGAGAACTGAGGGTGTGCAACAGAGAAGGGCATTTTCTCTATTAGCCAGGCTAATACACACGCATGTTGCTCCAGCTGTGTCTTTTTGTTCTGCCTCGAGTCCTGGCACACTGCTGTGAGCTGGAGCCCTGATTCTGCTTCCTTCACCAGCCCTGAAGCAGCAGCATGATAGCTTCTGGTTAAAGGCTCACATACACACACTGCTTGCAGCCCAGCTCTTCTGGATGTCAGTCTGAATCTTAGGCAGATACAGGCTGCAAACACCCCGGCATGCATGGTTCTTCCTCTCCATTTACCATACATTTTCCCACTTCAAAGTGCTCAGCAGGGAACGGTGTGGGCCCTCATGGCTAAACCATATAACAAAAGCACTTCGCTGGGTTTCTCCCTCCTGACTACTCAGCACTCCCTTGCTTCTACCCCGCAAGTATTCTCCCTCCTATCACAGCTCCTGGGCTCTAGTGGGATGCACAAACAAGCCAGCTGCCTCTGCTCCTAGGCAAGGCAGAGATCAGAGGTCATGCTCCCACTGAGATTTCCAAGAGGTGCTTCAACCTGTTGCCCATCACATCCGTCAGCAGTCACCTGTACTTGCTCCAGAGAGACTATGCTGGTGTCTGGCTGCTTTCAAGGCTGCAGCAGTATCACCCAGCACAGTCCCTGTTAGCTCTTTTTCTCTGCCTGGCAACTTTTGTTCATCATTACAGCTCTGTGAGCTTATGGGTTAAGCTTGGGCAAAATCCTCACTGGGTCCTCCCCAGAGGAAGAGGGAGACAAGACACCTTGACAGTGATAAACCAGGGCAGCCCACCCAAGGACAGCTTATCCCAGCAGGTAAAAGAGAGCCACAGATCCACTCTGGAAGGATAAATGACCTGAGAGAATGATGCAGCTGGGCTCAGGGTGGGTACAGTCGCCATCAGCTTCCCAGGCATTCATGGCTGCTTCCCAGGAGAGGGAACCAGATCTACATTACAGAAATAGGGATGCATAGACAGAGACCTCTCACCCTGCAGCTTGAATGGAAGGAGGCACTGGCTGCTCCTTGGTCCACCCGAGGGCCCAGCTTGTGCCAAGGGGCTGGTCAAGCAATGGCAGCTACCTGCCTCCTGGAAAGTGAGGAGGGAAGAAAGGATGTTTGCAAATAGACCTTTGTGTCTAAAGCAGGGATGAGTAGCTTGCCAGGACTCTTCATCCTAGGATGCCCATTGGATTGGGTCTCTGGGAACATATCCATATCAGCCTGCACAAAAGAGTCCTGGAACTCTTCAGATACATCTATGACTGCAAAACATGCATTTGTCAGTTCAAAGGGCCAGGTCTAACACAAGGACTGTTACACTGCCTGGAGTGAAGGTATAGCAAAATGAATCCAAAGGTTTGTTGCACACCCTTAGATGAGGAATAAAAGAACCTGAGGGTGACTGAGGGAGCAAGCCACCAAACCTGCTGAGATGGCATCAAAGAAAAACATAGGGAGCTAAATCTGCTTTGTTCCCATTATGTATATAGACATACATATATATATGCATATCTAGAGATACATATATATACATATATAGATATACTCAGAACCATGAGACAGAGCTAGCTGGAGTGGTCAAAAACAGAGCCAGGGTTGAGATCTTATGTGTTCTGTGGTTTGTCACACCCTTTTCTACAGCTGCATCATAAGGGCTCTTGCCATGCTATGTCCAAGACAAAACCCTTTTCCCATCCTCTTTGCTCAGAGCACCTACATATGGTAATGGACCTTTCCCAGCAGAAAGTAGTGGAGTCACTGGAGAATCCAAAGGAGCCCTGCCTGAAGTAGAGACCTCTCCCATCAGCCTGGGGCCAGAAGGACTTGGAAGACAGCACCATCACAGAGCTAGGACATGACCTGCACAAACACCATTGAGTAACCAACAGTACATAGAAGACAGCGTGTTTGGACTGGGAACATTTTGAAAGTGGATCATTGTTTGCTCTTGTCTTGATCTCCATATAAAACATCAGGGATTACACACAGGGGATTCCTGTTGGAAAAACAGATGAAATGGGGATGAGAAAACCAGCAAAGCAGTGGAGGATAAAGCGAAAAAAAACCAACAAACCCACATAATGCCTTATACCATCCTCTACCTGATGAGATCCTGCAACAACTCCAAGTCCATCTCTATTCTGATTGCTATGTACAACAAAAGCATCTTTGTTTTCCTGCCATATCCTAGAGCACAGGCGGATGCTGTGGGCAGTAGGATCCCCCTCCATTCCACTCCTAACCTGCCTGAGAACATCTGGCAGCTTTTACCTTCTACTTCAGCCAAGTTAATGGTTTCAAAAATGACCAATTTTCCAGCCAAATTATACTGTCCAAAATGATGAACTTCCTTTATCTCAGGAGTGAAAAAAGTTCTCTTTGGGCTGTCTGTGTGAAACAGGTTCTTTTCTTAGTTAGAGTCTAGGTTTCTTCCTCAAACATTTCATCTTGAAATGCATTACAGCCAAGCACTATTACACACAAAACAAGCACTGCATATCCAAGCTAGTGATGGAAATCCAGAGTCTGTAGTGACTCCTTCTAGGGGAATATCCACCTCTCCCTGTATTCTCAGGGGAACAGAGAGGTTTTCATTCACAGCTATGAGACTTCCTAGAGCTTGAGAGGTATAGTGATAATATTCAGCCAGCCTTTCAGGAGCATCATTTAATGCCACACCAGCAGTAGCAGCAGCATGCACAGCTCAGCACGCTTTCCTCTCAGTTGTAGCGAGGGGGATCGAGCTGTTATCCTTCCACACTGTCTCACAGCAGCAACACAGCCAAAATATTTGACAGACCCCAGATGAGTCTCCTTTCTAGAGGTGTGATGGCACAGTGACATAATGACAGTGATCAGCAAACAGAAATTGCAGTCAGACAGCTATAACCAACCCCGCACACAGACACATTCACAAACACGCACCCACCCACCCTTTAGCTATCAGGAGAAGCACAAGACTTTCTCCCTGGGCAAAGTGCTGGGAAACTCCCAGGCAGAGCCTCAGTGTCTGGAAGGGGGGACGACACTTACCTGGATTGGAGCGTGGATCCGGGGAAGGTGATGGAGAGAGCGGGTGCTCCGGGTCTTCCTTCACCCTTTAGTCGGGGATGACAAAGCCATGGCTAGTCCCAGCATAGCCAGGGCTGGAAACGCTGGGAGAAGGATCTCACATGCCTCCTTCCCTCTGTTCACCGAGCTCGGCAAACTTTGCTCGGGTGCCAGGCGAGCCCCGGGAGAGCTCAGCTGTCTCTGTGAGAGCTTGGCCGCCTTCTCCCCACTTCCCTCCTTCCCCTCGGAGGATGATGTCCTTCTCCTCAGGCAGATGCAGCATCGCTGCCCCGCTGCATCCTCTCGCACCTCCTCCTCCTCCCGCCCGCGGTCCCCAGCAGGGCTCAGCCCCGCCGTCCGGCAGGTTCTCACCCTCTCCCAGAGCCTTCTTTTCCTCTTTCCTTTTCTACTTCAGGGCTGCAGCTCCCGCCCCCTTCAGCTGACAGAGGTGCCCGGAGCAGAACAGCCCCTTTTTCCCCCCCGGAGAGAGGAAAATCCCCGGAGCCGGTCTCCGCAGAGGGACAGCCCCGGCCGGGGAACAAAGCGTCGGTCGCCGCCAGGGGCGAGGAGGCGAACAACGCCGCTAAATGCCAAGGAGTAAGATGCAGGCTCCCTGCTTGCTGTAGAGAAAAGGATCTCTTAAAAGCAAGAGGGTAGAAAAGCACATTTTGAGCAATAAAATTCAAATTACAACTGGTGTCCGGGTGCCTTTGGATGCTGGAAGGATGCAGGAGTGACTCCTGGTCGGCAGTGAGGATGCTGAGACAGGACCTCCCAGACCATGTAAATGTTCAGGGTGTGGGAGTTCACAAATCCAAATAAAACAGGTCTTCATATGCAAAAGTACTGTTTTAACGAAGCAAAAAGATCTCGGGTTCGCTTAAATGTCAAGCATGCCTGATGCTAGACCCTGTTGCACACATAGCCAAGATCTCAGCACCCATATTAACAAGACAACCGCTGTCTGCTTGCAGAGTTGGGGACCACAGGAAGCAAGGCAAACTGCAAGTTATGCACTGGATGGAGTGCAGGTAATCCTTCTGCAGCTTAAGCTGTGCTGAGGCTCACATGCCCTCATCTGCTCTCCGTGCCCACACTGCTGTAACCAGCCCGGATGCTGCCAGTGACAACCAGAGGCTCTTCTCCAGCTTATTGCAGAAGAATCCTGTACGAAGCAGGCTGAAGCTGATTGAACATGAATCATGCTCCCCTCTTTTTAAATTACTGCTTTCAGAATCTCAAGAGAGAGAGAAGGAGAAAAGTAACACAGAGACAGTGAAAAACAAAGGTCAGAGAGAGAAATCGCTGAAGAGGAATGAACACTTATTTCTCTCTATTCTCCAGGCACTACTTCATCCTAAGTATTCTTATTACAGCCGCATTCTCTACTGCATCATGTTGCATTTCTACTTACAGGCCATCCTAGAAATTCAGGCAAAAACAAGCTTTGCAGAAAGGGGTTCGGCCCCTGCTGAGGAACACAACTCTCTCCTTAGCTTGGGTAATGCTAGCAGCACACTGCATAACTAGGGCAGGGGGGGTATCAGAAAAGCACTGCTGGTCAGATAAAATGACTGCCTGGGCTTCTGGAAAGAAGTAACTGGGAAATCTCATTTCAGGTCCTTCCAGAGACGCAGCATCTCCTCTAGGGGTTCCCTGGCCCTGTAACATGAGGTTCAAATTGGCTCAGTGTATTCCTCCCTACCAGAGAAGTGAGAGGGAGCACACAATGGAGCGTTTTCTGGAGAAAATCTCCACATGGCACATCTGGAAGAGACAGTTCCACATGTGGCAGAGCTGGTGTTTAGTGTTTGCTGCCTGTTGCTGGGTAGAAATCAGAGTGGCTGAACTTATTCTTGATGTGGCTCCGTAGAGCTCAGCAGAAACAGCCCCGTAAGCTGTGTTATTTAGGAACAGTGGCTGTAATAGGGAAAGAGACCTCCAGGGTCATTGATTCGAGTCCCCTGCTATCAGTTTATATGATAGCATTCATAAAGCACTCAGGCTCCAACGGGAGCCAATTAATACTGAATGACCTGTGAGCTGGTCCTTAATCGCACGAGGAAGCGATGAAGAAGGCTGCGCCCGCTTCAGGTTGGCTCTTGCATGACTCCCCATCACACTTTCTGCTTAATGGTCCATAAACCCAATAAAAAGGCCTTAGTAAAACATTAGATATTTAGGGCTCCACTGAAGCAATCATTCTGTGTTTTGCATACGTGGCCCTGACAACCTGGCAAACTGCCTTCATGTGATTAAAACAACTGCTAATTCAAGAACTAAAATTAAAAGCTAGATTTCCCACTGGTATAAATCAAAGCAGAATCATTGCATTGCAGAGCTTTGATAGCTCATGAGCATTCATGATTTAGCAAGGGGGTTTTGCCAGACTGATGGCTCCTAATTTCAAACTTGCCAGGAACTGGAAGCCTTGCCTTCTTTAGAAGCAAGATCCCAATCCTCAGATGACTAGAAATGATATTCCTCTGGGAGAAGCTGTTTGTTCCCAGCTCCTGCTGAATTCAGAAATCAGCTTAAGTCAGAAATTTATGAATGAGAGGCAAAATTGCTTTTCCCCATTGTCAGTTACTGGCTCTGGTTTAATTACTAAGAAACCTAACTCAGGCAGCCTTGCACCCACAAAGGCTGGGCTTCAGTTCAGTGTCACCAGCTCCTGGTCTGAAGCAGGTCAGGGTGATGACTACCACATATGAAGCACTTAGATATCATGCTGGCTTTCTGGGGTTTCTCTCTGCAAGAATAACTGAAAACAGGTGGGATGGATAAGAATGATCCATGCTTTCGCAGGCTTTTTGGTTGGGACTAACACTGGAGTGAAAATGTGTAAGCAGCATCCATGCCTACGAGAGCTGCAGCATGCCAACAGCTCAGTTCCTCAGCACAACAGGACCAAAAAGCAGCAGCCCATGAGGCTGCCTGCTGAGCCATACCCATCACACAAGGAGTGTGTGGGAGACAGAGAATGCCTGGAAGTTTATGGTCCAATAAGATCATTAGACAAAGGTCACTGCCGAAACGTCCCCCCGCAGATTTCCACGAGGTCTCCAGAACTGGCATCTCTCCGCATTTACATTTTAATTGCCTCTTAAGGGAAGGAAACACCAGACTGAATCTGCTGTTGCTCCAAACCAACTCTAAATGCCACCATGTCTGCCTGAAAGTTTGCACTTTCAGGGTCTGCTCTCTTGTGGCTCTGTGCTCTCTATGGCAATTCAAAGAGGGCAAGGCCAATTTCTTCAGCAGTTCTTACCTGTCTGTAACATCAGGTACAGAAAGAAAGAGGTAAAAAAGTGTTTGGCATCCCTAGAGGCAGCTGTGAAGTTACTGTGCAGGAGATTCAAACCCAAGAAGGAGACACCTCCTTGTACAGTGTTTAATTAAAATCATAGAACTTCACTGGGGACAGCAACAGTATTCAAGTGCTCAGACCCAGGACACAGGTGGGACTGGACCTGTCAAACACAACAGGCCACCTGCAGCTTCATGGTGTCCCTATGTTTCTGATCACTGGGAACAGCCTGAGGAGGAAAGCTTCCTCCAGGTTTGCCATGGCCCATATAACCCAAGCTTCTACTGTTGACAACTGTTGAGGCAGGATAATAGGCAAGATAGATATTTTTACCTGATCCCATATGATTGTTCTCATGTCAAGGATGAAGCCTTTGATGTTTCTGAATGTAGACCAAAACTTGCTTTTCTGATCAGAGAGACTTGGCAGCCATACTTCATGCCTAGTCTCCCTCAGGACAACAGCAATCCCCAGCATATTCACCATGTTTCATCAGGGATATTTCCTACTTTGCTCTTCCTGGGAGCAGTCTCATCGTGCATAGCACTATCTTCATGACCTAAAGCATCTTGGCCAGCTGTTTTGTTAGCAGATGTCCCCATCCCCATGCCTGCTCATGCCTATACACTAAACCCCTTCAGAACAGGGGTCAATTCACTTCCAGTTAACCATTTTAGCTGAAGACTGTAGGCAGAATACCTGTGTTTCCTCATCAGGTTGCACACTCTCAGGGTGCTGGCAGCTTGTAGAGCACTCAGCCCAGCTATGAACCCAGTGAACCGCTACATAGTGTGACCTGACATGGGCCCAACCTCTCCTGAATGATCCACCCATGCCAAGACCCCACACATAGCCTTGAGGAAGCTGAAATCAGAACAGGACACTGCTGGGAGATAGATAGACTGAGAAAGGTACAAAAGTTGTCTTCATGCCACCCTGCTTAGGATTTGGGCCCTGGACACAAGGGGGATCTCAGCAGGATATCAGCAAAATGGGGATCTTCCAGCATCATTAAAACTTTGTCTTTACCCTTTGGATGAGGCGATCTACTTCCATAGCACCTTTGTGGTTCTGTGGGGTTCTTTGGGGTTTTATCTGTTTGCTTGTTTTAAAGACTCTAGAAATCAGTTTCCCCCTTCACACAAAGAAGAAAAAAGGCTTCCAGATGTTCAAACAAGTTTCCTCTTCCTATGGCACCCTCTGAAAATACTGAGCTGAAGCAAGTTAGCAGAGAGGAAAGAGCTGTGCCAGCGGCTGTCCTGCTTCACAAACTGTGCAGTGATTTTCTATGAAGCTTTCTCAAGCTTCATAGGAGAAAATCAGCGGGTCAGTTATCAGCAAGGGGCAAATGTCTTTAATTACCTTGCAGGGAGGATTATGTCTCCTGTGTTTAGTTCTCAAAGGTTCCCACTGTCAAACTAATTAGCAAGCAGCTTCACTGAAGAGCAGGCCTGAAGTTATGCAGCTTTATTCACCCAGGAGGCAAACACCCAGCTCATTCTCCTCTGTCGCATCGTGGTCCTCTCTGCTAGCCAGATCAGAGCAAAGGATAGCTATCTGGAAGAGACAAAACCACACAGTGTGCCCATTGGTAACTCTACCTCGTGGTTTCAAATGCAGCTCATCAGAGACCACAGTGTTACATCGTCTTCTTTAAGTGCTGGTGGAGATCTTAGTTAAAGGGCTGTTGATATAAACTGAAATCTGTGTACATTGTATGTTACACTTTATACACTCTATGCTACGTATTACATATTATTTGTCCTATATTCCCCCTCTTCATTAGGAAGAATACACAAATACATCTGATCTGCATTTAAGCTGGCAAGGAACTTAGCAGCCTTGATGGAGTAGTAGTCACGATACTGAGGTCCTGATCCAGTAGAACACTTAAATCGTGTTTTTTCTGGGTTTTGGGCTATTAACTTCAGTGGGGCTATTCACAGTCCCTAAGGTAAGTATGTACTTTCTATGCTCAGTACTTTCCCCAGACAAAGCAGAGGTAATACCACAAGAACCAGTGATGCGCACGGAAACAGAGTCAGGCCCCATGGATGAAACATCACATGAACAAGGAACTTTCTTCCAAGAGCATTTGTGCTCTTCCGTTGGGTGCATGTCTTACGTTAATTTAAGGGCATCTCTGAGGATGGGACTGAGGGGTGTCACAAACGAGCAGTGGTGAACTTGGCTTTTGACCATGAGCAAACCCACATATTAAGGAATCTGAAAGGAAACAATATCCAAATGTCATGTTCTCTCTGAACCCTACTCTGGTGGCTGAGACCAAAGCACAAGGAAGATGAAAGAGGACATCCATCTGCACCACCTTCGGACACCAGGTAACCTACATCAGTACAGGCTTGGCACCCAAACCCACAGAGTGGTTATTGCCTGGCCACAGTATCTTCTTGTCCATCCAGCCACTCAGGTGTCCCCTTGAGCAAGATAGTGCTGCCCAGCTGAGCCATGGGCAATATCAGAGGCTGGCTGCAAGCATGGTCTTAGGTGCTTCAGGTGCAACTATGTTAATTTGATTTATCCCCATGAGGAAAACCACCCACACGGTGATTTAGACCATCAAAATCTATTTCATAGTGGAAGCAGACTAAGGTAGTTACTGTGAGTAAAATTATGGATTATAGCTTTCCACATCTTGATAATTTCAGTGCTTTCAATGGTGTCCCCATTCAACCTGTCCCTTTGGAACAGATTTGATGTTGCTTTGTGAATCACCAAGGAGAGAAATAATTTGCGCCTGTTATATCCACCTGATCCACTTGCAGCATGCCAGACCACAAGACATACTTATTACCACCAGCATAAATCACATTACACTAGCCATTTTGAGTTCCTGGAAAACCTATCTTTGAGGGATGTCAGACCCAACATTATCAGCAGATAGTGTTTCTGTCTGAATCCAGAGGAGGCACGTCCTTGATCACTCCATCACTGCTTAGGGCGCTGATGCTCATTTCTTACCCATCAGTCTTCACCCAAGGGCTGATACCTTACATAGCAACACACAGTCTACAAGGATAGTTAATACCTGGAAATACAGACACTGTGAAAAGCAGTGTCAGGGTGATGCACATACAGAGGATATTTCATACCCCTTCAAAATATATAGCACTTTGGACACAGTTGTGATCTCTTGAAAGTTCTCGTGGCTTGCAAAAACCCTTGGGCCCCTCGCGGCTCAACCTGCACTGCATCACTGAAACACTTCACAAGGAGACTCCTTAACTCTTCAGAGCAGCAAAATAAGCACGAACCAAGTGAAAATTAAATATCACAATTGGGAGTCCTTATTTGCCCTTATGTGAATGTCTGGGGACTTTTTCCATGTGTACCCTATCTCCTCAGCTTCAAGGTGCACAAAAGCCCCAGACTGGATCCTCCTGTGGTTTAGCCAGATCCCACATAACTTCATGGAAGTTCTTGCAGCGACCTCAGTGAGCTGTGAACAAGGTCTGTAGGATGCTGCCCTGTGAATATTTACCCTCTGGGAGAGAGCAGATGTCTGTGGCCTCCATATGGGATATCAAGTTCTAAGATGGCAAGGAACAGACCATTAATAACACTCTTAAATGAAGTGATTATAAGGTCATCACGTCAAACACTGCCTAGCATCATTGTGCCTGCACGAGTTTTATTTTACACACAGCCTTGGGAAGCATCTGTTTAAAACACTTGACTCCAACTCATTAGCTCTGCTGCAAAGCCTCTCTCCTAATACACTTAATCTGCTTCTCAGTTCCTGCACCACCCTCCCAGCCTCATCACCAAACACAGTGAACAGGTCTTCTTCTACCTCAAAGTACCTGCTGTCAGGATGAATATAGCTCTCAAACACTAGACAAGCAGAGCTGTGTTTGTCTCCAGCAGAGACAGACATGCACACACACCACACCAGACCCCATAACTACCCACTGGTCTGTAGGGAGCAACTTCTTCTCACAGGTTTGAGATCAGCTGCATATGTGGACATGTTTTTGCCTTCAAGAGCAGGATCCAGAGGGGAAAAATACATCCCATGATAATTATGTGCCTTGAAAACTATGTCAGCTCATACATGATTAATTCAGCAGGCTTTGGAATAGGTTCCTCAGCAGAAAGCAGTAGTGTGATCATATAACCCTTGACGAAAAAGGTGAAGAACTCCAAATCAAACAAGTCTTGTCTCCTGCAAAGAGCAATCACCACTGTTTGCCCTCAGGACAAGAGCCTTTTCTTTCAAGCCACAGGCACAGAGCAGAGGTTCCTCTTTCATCACAGAGTGATGGGATCCATCAGTAAATCAGAAACAGCTCTCTTCTGCAGCACACACATTTCAGAGACATGCCAGCAGGTGCTGGTGTAGGTGTGTTCAGAGCAGTGGGATCTAGATGAGCACCACCAGCTTGTAACTGCTGGCAGGTATGAGAAGGCATTACTCACCTGCTGTAGCTGAGTGGGCGGTGATGGGACAGAACAGGAGATACAGAGATGCCTTTCTATAGACAGAGTTTAGTGTTATTTAATTTTAGAAGTCACTGAAATTCCACAATTTCCCTTTTCCCATCCTATGTGCAGACAGTGCAGGGAAAAGGGGGAAAACTGCTTTAACCATCACTGAGACCCTGCTAACACCTTCAGCCTGATTAATGCGAGGTAAGAAGTAAGCATGAGGTTCTCTCTCAGCTATCGCCACTATCAGGATAATGTGAAATTCTGATTAAATCTCACTTCTTCTTTAACCAGACTTGTAGAGCTGAGAAATCATAAAGTGTCATTATGAGCAGATGTTGGTTTACAGAAGCACTTTTCCAGTGCCACAGATGTGGTCAGGGCTGGGTACCCCTTCCTGCATCGTCTTTCAATATGCCTTTTTGCAAGACTCCCATTTCACCCCTTCCACAGAGTTCAGGGACCAAAGGTGCTACATAAAAGCATGGATGTAAAGGATATCTGTCTCAAAGAGGACAAGGGAATGGTAATACACATAGAGTGGGAAACTGAGGCTCAGAGACTATGTCAAGGTGAGGTGTATCCCAAGACCATGGTCTAGACCTGCCTCCCCAAGTCCAGCAGGCAATGGGGAGAGGCTTTCCAGTGTGTATGCATCACCCAGAGACACAGCACAAGTGCAAAGATGCTATGAACATCCCACCCCACTGCTCAGAGGCCAGGCAGCACCAGCTGAGCACTCAGTCTCCCTGAGGTCTGCAGAAGATCAGGGTTTCGCTCTGTTTCCTCATTAAATCATTTGTAAAAGGAGAGTAAGGACACTTAACCCTGTGTGAGGAGTCACCGCTTGCATCTTCCTCAGGCAGAAGAAGCAGTGCCTGGAATTATTTGCCACTATTTAAAACAAATAGGAAAAACAGTCTGTGTACCCAGCATCCTGCAGGTCAAACTGTGCAATAAACAAAGCAGCATCGCAGGCTGAGGGTAAGAAATAGAGGCCAGGAGAAGAAGCTGATTTGACTCGGGGGTGGTGGTTAGTGCTACAGCAAACTGCTGGGGAAAGATCTGCAGGACCTAATGAAGCCAGGGCTGATTTGTAACCATTTTCTCATGCCCAGCAAGTGAGAGACTGCCCCCAAAACACTGCACTGTGTTTGGATATGGGATGAATTCACCAGCTGTTTTCTGAAAAGCCTGGGATGCTGCAAACATGATTAAAGAAGAGAAAGAAAAATAAACCCAACAGGTGAATGATCTTGGATGAGCCTTTCTGTGACTGTTTTAAAGGAG